GAATGTCGAGGTTTGAATTTAGCATAAGAAACGCCAACTTTGCTGCCATCGATACGAGAGCCATTCATTTTTGAGATCGCTCTCCTTGCTTCTTCAATAGTTGCATACCGAATAAACCCAAAACGGACCCCTTTCGAGTTTCTTTTTTTAGGAATGAAGGCATCAATAACATGACCATGTGTGCCAAAATAAACCCAAGTCTCTTCCAATGGATCATCTCTGGAAGGTTTTCGATAAAAATCGTGAAACAACCATTTCTGATCCCATTTCCGATTCTTGGATGACCATCCTTCGACCAATTTTGAAACTCATTTTTTCTCCTTCTCGTTACTTCGGAAAACTTTTCATAAGAGTACCCTTTCATGAAGCTCTCCTTGGTTCCATCCTGAACAATATCAGCGATAGGTAAAGTTGGTGTTGTCTGCACTACAGAATTAGTTCCGAGCTTTTGTTTCCCTCCTTGAGAAGAAGACAGTCCATTGTCATCAATCCTACCAACAGAAGGGTGATAGTCTGAAGTAGCTTTAGCAGAGCAATTTTCAAACGCCCGGTTGATAAAGGACTATCACCCAACCTCGCTGAAAATACTCTTGAATTTTGATGCTTTTGGGGCGAAGGCGATTGCCTGAAGGTAGTGCCGTCGGCCTCAACTGTCCAACCTGCCTCACGGGCCAAGGCGACCAGTACATCGTTCATATTAGAACGCTCTGAAAGATGGAAATTACCAAACTGCCGCAATCCGGCCAACATACGTCTAGTGAAGGCTCGCCTGTTCCGTCTTCGGAGCTTTGTCCTTTCCTTTTCACTCTCCCTCTCACGTTTTTCCTTGCCGGAAAATGAAAAATTGATTGCATTGTCAGGTCCAGAGAAAGTACTAATGGAGTTCACAGACGCTGCACCTGCCGCAGTTGTTGCAGCTAAACCACTAGTACGCCTGTGCTTAGACGAGCGTAGAGGTTCCATGGAGAGATCTGGGAAAGATGATTTACTGGAAAAACAGACAGCTTGGAGGATAGTGTAAGATTTCACCGAACCAGATGGATAGAACTGAGAAGTTGGGAAGAGGATTAACTGGAAAAACAGACAGCTTGGATAGGGTAAGATTTCACCGAACCAGTACACTGGAAATAGAACTGATTTTCGACACTAGGAAAGGGAGTTATGGTCGCGAGAAGAAGCTGAGTCCGGTGGTGAGGCGGTGACGACCACTAGCGGCGGGAAGAGGCGTAAATCGACGGTGAACTTCGAGCAGATCTGCGTCAATTGAATGTCTCAATCGCAAATCTAAAGCCAGATTTGGAATCACCTTGAGTCGGTGAACTTCCCAGGAGAAAAAAGCTTCAAACGGTGGTCGGAGTATGGCGGCGGCAGCAGCGGACGGCTGTCGGTGGCAGCGGACAATGGGTGGATGTCGGAGGAGAGAGAAAATTTTTCAAAAGACGCCTGGGCTATTGTAATTCGAAATTTGAAAACACCAAGGTTAGAGAGAAGCTGGAGCTTCTCTCACTAACACGTCATCCACGTTGCTTTTTAATCTGGTACAAGATCAAAGGAACCATCAGGAGGTATGAAGGATATAGTCCGGTCATTCTCAAATCGGGCCAAACGTACACACCTAGATCAAAGCATTAATCGTAGGGAAATTAGCAACATCAGACTTCAGTAGCAGTTACAGCCAATGCTTAAGAAAGCATATAATTAAAAACAAAGTACAACAAGAAAAGAGAGTCAGGGTATATACTGATGAAACTTTATGTCCTCCAAATCAATTGCCTTTCCCTTTGTGGCTCGTCCTTGTGCCTCAAGCAATACTCTATCATTTAGCCCAAGCTTACACTCGGGCATACCACTGAAAAAGATAATTGAACCCAAATAAATAAATGGGCAGCCTAGAACAAAACTTCCAAAATGAAAGCATACTTTGTGATGCCATAAATATCATGAAAAAACAATTGTTTGGACAATGTCACATGCATGAAGGTTTGAGTTGCCTAACATCACATAGCCTAGATAGAACATGCCAAATTATCATAGCTTCCAGCATAACTAGCATGAATGGGATGACAACCAGAAGTTTCAAATGAATGGTTGTCAACAATGGTGCAAAATAGAGATGAAGAGACACCAATTTCCAATTCTAAATTGATAATGTTTTATCAGATTGCACGAAGTATATTGAAATTGAGGTCTCATCATATCAGTTGTCTACCACTTCAATAAACATCACCTTCCCCCCCAAGAAATTGACAAATGCTAAACTTTTATTTGCAACTTGCAGACCAGACAGTATAAGTATGCATTCTCTCTAGAATGCTATATTTGTTTAAATATAAATTTTGCAACATAGACACTTTTTTATAAACCCACCTTAAATCTATTCACATAAAAACAATGCAATTACACACTATAAGTAAAGATAGAGTTCTATATAGAACTAAAGCATACTCCCTTAAAGACAAACCATTTATCTTGAAACAAACAGAAAACACACCTCAAATAAGTTCTCATTTTCAACGCCCCAACAACGTCTGACCTAATTATTTGTCCATTGCTGTTGACAAGTATGTTCACACTTTCTACCACATCCAAAAACACCTGAAATGAAGAACAAAACTTCATAAGCCAGTGTCTTAAGACATTAATAAATAAATCAAAAGAATGACTATAAAAAAGCCACCTACTTCATTCTTCTTGTAGTTTATTCCTTCACTACGCCAAGAGACTGCATTGGTAACAGCCATTGGGGGTCTCTGGGTAACTTCCATCCTATAAGCATCAGTCTTGATAAACTCACTAAGTATTTTTGCTTCAGTGTATTGAGGGTAGCCAAAATCCATAATCTCGTCAAGTAACTCATACTGGCAGAAGCATGAAAAAGAGCCAATTTAAACTCTTCGACTAAAATTATAAACCAGAACTGTCTAAAAATTGAAAAAAAATGTGTTTGATTTTCACATACCACTACAACAAAGTTATCCCTAAGAGATTCCTCTTCTAACTCCTCGAAATAATGCTTAAAAACCTGAAACATTAATATCGATACAGAGAACGGATACCATATACTACTTCATTAGGTAACACACACACACACAATTCAATCGAAAATTGAAAAATATAAAAGGCACAAAACTAAAATTACACAATTGGCTTACATCGACTACACGGTGCAGGAAAAAAAGAAGACTGGCGGCATTGCAATTCTGCCTTGTTGCGATCATCAAGTACACATTGATGTGTTGTATAAACATGTACGTTACTCCATTATCATACACCACTGGATCTTGCGACTGCGGATCTCCCTGTGAGCCAAATCCAAAGGACCGAATTCAACGATATGTTAACGAATTAGAGCACCACCAATCTAAAAATTGATTCGACGTATAGATAAGCTAAATTCAAACTTAAAAAATCAAAACAAAGCAATAAACAGAAGGAACGTATTTATTCTAAACGGAAATTAAATATTAAATTGAAATCCTGATATTGCAAAAAGAACCTCTTTCTCGATGAGCTTGGTGAAGAACCGTTCAGCTTGAGCGGCGGAGACGTCGCCACGGTAGTCACGCCACACCAGAACGCGGCCCTTTATATCTAGAAGAAACAGTGCAGATGCGGCCCCCGCCATTTATTCTTTGGTTTTATATTACTAGTCCCTACGAAATCCCTAGTAATTTTGCAGATCGGATCGGTGCGGTTAACGGTTTACTTGAGATCTGATATGAATCAAACGAGAGAGGGGAGATCTAAATGAAGGGAGTGCAAAGTCGAGCGAGCTTGTTGAAGATGAACCATATTTTGTGAATGTTCGTTACAAGATCTGCCCACACACTCATTTACTTTTCTTTCTATTTCATATTTTAAATGGTAAGAACAATGGGCTTCAACCTTCATCTTCCCATACCACAACAACAATAACAAAATTCAATTTTCATATGTATAAGGTAAGGGGAGTAGGGTAGTAAGCTACCCTAACGCCAGGTTGAGAGTAGCTTCCGTGGAAGACCTCCGACAGTCAGAAAATTAAAAATTTAGATAAAATGTAATGCATGTATAAATAAATACATAAATACATAGCTAAACAGTATTCATATGCAGTCATTAAAATCATATGTACGTCTGTAATGGGAAATTAATCCCTGCATAATAATCCCTGCGAAAGAATCTCTGTATGTAGACAGAAACATAAGATCCGACTAAATTTAAAAAAAGAAACATGAAGAGAATGATACACAAAAGTCAACGACACCGCTTTGCTGCGTTTAATACTCACGCGCCAATGTTGTGCATTGTTTTTAATAGGGGTAAAATACGAAAATAGTCTCAATGGTCACATGACACTTTTTTGAGTCCTTCAATTACAAAAATTTATAAAATAATGTTGATCATTCTTTGGCTAAAAAGTTAATAAGAATAGGACATAATAATAAATTTAGTCCTCATTTATTATGTTTTAATTTGATTCTAATTCTGAAAAAAATAACTCTTAACACTCCATTATTATACCAATTTAATTCATATTAACTTGACAATTTTTGCACATAAAAGCATTATCCAATCTTTAAACTTGACAACTTTTTAAGTTTGATTTTTAAATTTATTTTATCCATATTAACTTTAAATTTATTTTTTTATCATTTTAATGATATGACATTTTAAAATTATATATTGTACATTTAACAAAATTGTAAATTAATGTCCAATATCACATCATTAAAAAATTTAAGAAAATCGTAAATTAAATGATTAATGTTAAAAAATCACAGATATAGTTAAAAAGAAATTAAAAAAAAATAAAAATTACTTATCCCTAAATTTCCACTAGATTACTAAAGATGTGCTATAAGTTTTTCTTTTTCCAATTAGAGACACAAATCAGAAAATTACGCAAATTTCTTCCAAACTCCCTTGATGCCTTGACTGAAACCAAATTTCTATCCCAACAATTTTTTTTCTTTAAAAAGAAAAGCTTATATGGAACAGATAACAACGAGGCAGTTCTATTTTTCATTTGCAGCTATATATGTTTAATATAACATAGCTGAGAAATGAGTAAAATGGAGGTTGTTTAGTTTTCATCTTCCATTGTAAATCCCACTGAAAACTTGGCTATTCCCTCCCAGTGACGCATCCCACTCCACCGACGACATCACAATCTGGGAAAGTGCTAAAACAACATCTCTCATTTCCGGTCTGTTCACCGCCTCATCGCTCAAGCACCACATCGCCAGTTCTGTCATCTGCAACATCACCAGCTATTTATGTTATTTTCCATTTTATGATTGTTGAAGGGAGATAGGGTTATATGTGTTCGTGTGTGTGTGTGTGTATGTACATCGCCAGTTCTGTCATCTGCAACATCACTAGCTATATATGTTATTTTCCATTTTATGATTGTTGAAGGAAGATAGGGTTGTGTGTGTGTGTGTGTGTGTATACCTTGTATACATCCTCCATAGGATAGCTTCCTCTAAGACTTCCATCTATCACTTCTTCTAAAGCTTTTTCCGGGTTTTCTTCTACGAAAATATTATTTACCTTACCACAATATTGAAAAGAAATAGAAAACATGTTTGAGTGAGTGAACAGGTTTCAATCTTAAATTCTTCTGTTATTGTATCGGAATCAATTTACTTACAACGGTTATCAATGATCTCATTTTGTTCGGTTCCTTGTTGTCACGAACCAGCGCACGTTGGCCTGTTATCAGCTCCGCCAGCACCACCCCGAACGCGAAGACATCGGATTTTGGTGTCACTTGCAAGTCCATCACCGATCTTTCCACCATAACCATATAAACAGCGGGAAAAAAACCTCAGTCTGGGAACAGATTTTGTAAGAAAAAGAACATTTCATTAGTGATTTATAGCAAACTAAAAACTTACTCAGGGGGCAAGTAACCTGGAGTTCCGACCAATCGTGTTGCTATTAGATCCTCTTCGTTTGTTCTCTCAACGAGCTTTGCTAATCCGAAGTCCCCAACCTAATCGAATGAAATACATTACATTCATTGTCTCATGAAGACTATAGCAGTAAATATAATACAATGGAGTTCATTTTAGTACCTTTCCTCGTAGACCCTTATCAAGCAGTATGTTACTGGTCTTGATATCCCTATGCACATACCGTGCTTTCGTGTGGTCGTGAATGTATTCAATGCCTTTCGCAGCATCGAGTGCGATTTGCGTTCTCGCTATCCAAGAGAGTGGCTGGTGACCTTTCAATAACGGATCATGAAGATGATCATTGAGTGATCCATTCTGGACATACTCATAGACCAAGTAGAGATGATCATCTCCACTAGCGAATCCCAAGAGCTCAACCTGTAAGTACAACACATGATGACTCATGTTCTGAGACAAATTTAACAAGAGTTAATGGTCGGAAAATTTACCACGTTTATGTGATGGACCTTGCATAAGACCTTGAGTTCAGCAAAGAACTCTTTCGATTTGTTCGATTTCATCTTCTTTATCGCAACTTCCTGAAAGTGCAGAAAGATTAAGTCGTTCCATTTAAGTAGAAAAATTAGCAACGAAAGTTTGTACCTTTGATCTTAGTATTCCGTGGTACACATAACCGTATCCCCCACTTCCAATTTTCTTCTTTTCATCAAAATTATCTGTAGCTTTTTCAATCTCCTCCAGGCTATATATCATTGGTATTTCTGATTCAAAAGCTGTTACATCTACAATAAGCAAATGCAGTATAGATGAGTTAATTACCTCTTCCTCTCCAGAAACGGATTACTCTATTCATCAATATTTTTAGTAATGTATAGCTCATTAAGTGGCTTCAGTGGTAAAAGGGAGTGTTGTTCTTCAGTCTTGGAGCAACTGGGTCTAGAGTGTGTGTGTCCATTATGAATGGCTAAGAAAGATTCTGAATAGATCTTACATTTTAAGCACATCAGACTATTTAAAAAAAAAATATTTGGTTATGTATGTAGTTCTAATCTTCCTGACCTTCCATGTTTTCCGTGTAGAAAAACTGGGATTGCAATGAAAATGTTCTTCCACTCATCATGCTTTTGGATACTGACTTTGGATGTTCCACACTCATTTTTTGTCCTTTTCTTTTTCGTATGAGAAAGATGAGCAATGCAACTGTTGAAAAAAATGCAACTACCGATAATACGACAATAAGGATTGTCCATTTTCTTCTTCCTCCTCCCCCTCCCCCTGATAATTAATGGCAAAACAAGGAATACCATAATTAAATCAGTACAAAACAGTGAACATTTTTATCTGCTAAAAATAATATTTTGAAATGAAAAAGAAAATGATCTTTGAATTGAAACAACTGCTCACTTTTCATTGGTGCTGGAATTCTATCATTGTCCATAGTCACATATAGAACCGAACCGGAAATTATAAGATCAGGGTTTTGAGTCAGGTTGCTGTTCAATCTTTCTATGTCTTTTATGTTAGTCCATAGCTGAGTCGCAATACTTGTCAAAGCATCGCCCTGCTGAACTGTATATGTGACTATGGTTTTTGACGGACTCTCTATGCATCCGCATATTAGATGCATTGGTACTTTGTTCCCTGGATTGAAACTACTCACTTCGTCACCAACTTCGAGAGCTTGTCCGCTGTAAATACTAGTCGAAACATCCTGAAATGTGTCATGTTTTTTCACCGTGTAGGAAGCATCGTAGAAGTATGCTACGGTATCGTTACCGATGTCCTCACAAGAACAGGGGACCGGTATAAGGTAATTCCTGTTGTTTCCGTGGGAAATGGGGCGGAAAGTGGAAGGATCAACGGAGTAAAAAGAGGCAATCTGGTCGTCGTCTAGACCAGTATTGATGTGGTATAACAAGGCATCACATTTCTTGATTTCTTGTGATGAGCAATTAAAAGGGAACATAACATCGGCTTTACAGATTCTAGCAAGTAGAGCTGCCAATAAAGGGAGCGTAAGGCAAACAAGGAGATGGTGTGAAAGTGAAACCATGGTTATGAGCATGGGAAACTCGATGCTTTGCAATGAAAAGGGAAGAGGTAGAAATGATGGTCTTTGTTTTAATTTCTGTTTGCACATGTTTGCTGGCTCATTGGGGTATTGTTTCAGAACTTCCAAGTGGAATCCCCCACCAAGTTTATTATAAGCAAAAAGAGGTTTAAGATTCTTTGGAGACGAGAAAACAAACAATTCGCAAACCCACAGTTTGGAATATTGTCATGGGTTTATCTTTTATTGGACACTCGTCGATTCTTACAATATGGAAGTTATTTTGCTTATATTTTAGATGGATCATAGGATGACAGTCGCCTCTGAAAATTTCAAATTATGTATAGTTTAATTATTTTTTATTTTCATCCCTAAAATTTTATAAATTTTTTTTTTTAATATAAAATCTTACGTCCATCCTTGCTTTTAGGCTCTAGGCCATGATTAATCGAACAAACTAGACTTAATAGTTCATGTATTCATGTCGTGTTAAGACTTTTTTAATTAGTTTGAAATGATTACAAAATAAAAAAATTTCATAATCTTTCTTAGTCATTAATAACTTATACACTCATTTCATGTTAAGTTTATATCATACTTTTTTGTTTGTTTTAATGTTATATTGTGTAATCGTATCATATGTAACATTATTAGTTCTAAAGCAAGAAAATGCAATAGAGAAGCTTACTCATTCTCGTGGGTTAAATATATTGTACGCTGTAATACGCAGGGCATTCGCTTGTTCAATGCTGAGTTTTAGATTTTTTATAAAACGTCCAAGGGCTACATAAGCTGAGGTTTATATTTATGTGAGTATTACTATTATTTTACAGGACGTTAACATTTTTTTAGCCTAAGCCAAGAGAAACCGAGTTGTAGTACCTTGGTTAACTCGCCTTCCATAGACATGCCTGTCTCCTGGTTTGCAACAGAATATTCTATTATGGCGATTGAGTGTTCCCAGTTGTTTAATTTAATAGTTTGAAATTAGGTCCAAATACTGTAATTAATGAATTAGCAGCTATGATACTTGGATACTGCATACATTCCAACAATGAATTATTATTATTTAAATAAAAGTATTTTCACGTCCAGTAAAAAGATAGTAATACTAGATTAACAGGCACTCAGGCTGGGAGTTCTAAGCTGAAATCCTATCTAGTAAAGGTAATTTTTTTTTGGGTTTTCAGAGTACACTTTTTACTCTGGTTTAAATATTACGGGCACTTCTATTGCCCCCACTTTCATGCTCCAACAGGCTTTGGTAAACTCTATTACAATTTGCTTGCAATCTTATCTTGCTAACTATAGGAAGCACAGGAACAAAAGCACCATTATTAAATCAGAGCACTGAGAATTTAACAACTACTTGACATAATTAAGCCATGCATAATTCTATATGTAGACTTCAATATTTATTCGCCTACTAAACCAGAGGCATTGGAACTCAAAAGTAGCTTTTATTAATCTGTTCTCAAAATTATCAGCAGCCTTCTTTTGCTGGCTATATAAAAACTAACAGGGAGGGAAAACAACACCATTGGTCAAACAAGAGTTACAACTTAAACGTTCATTGCGTATTCCGTCGTGTAAATATTTAGGTGCTATCTATTCTATTCACGCTGCCGGCCATACAAATGCCATAATTTCGACTCAAACAGTCAGATCTTCTGACAAGTGGCAAGTTTTGGATTTTGGAATCTGTTACGGTGCTATCTACCTCACAATTTACTTTACTGTAGAATTGGCGTTTCAGCTGGGCTTTTCCTTAACAATATCCTAAACAGAAATTGTTATGTATGGCTCATAAAAAGTCTCGTTGTAGGGTTACGAATTATGTGGGTTGGGGGTGTGGGGGCGTAGCCCCCGCGGTACGGTACAGGGTTGATTTTGTAATTATGTACCAGGGTTTTCTATTATAAATAGAGATGTAACCTAGACCTAAAATATCATTGAATAAAATTCTAGCGCCGCCTAGGCACCGAGGACGTAAGCACATTGCCGAACCTCGTAAAATTCTCGTGTTCTTTCGTTTTCTTTACCCGTTTTCGTCAACAATTGGTATCAGATGTCAGGAGCAAAATTCGAAGTCGCGAAATTCGATGGTCAGGGTAACTTCGGATTATGGCAAACGAGGGTGAAGGATCTATTGGCGCAGCAAGGGATCTTGAAGGCTTTGCGACCTACAAAGCCGGCGTCGATGGATGAGGAAGATTGGGAAGAATTGCAGCAGCGAGCGGCAGGAACCATACGATTATGCTTGGCGGACGAGGTCATGTATCACGTCATGCATCTATCGTCTCCAGACGAAATTTGGAGGAAGTTGGAAAGTCAGTTTATGTCCAAATCCTTAACGACAAAACTGTATCTGAAGCAGCGGCTGTATGGGCTGAAGATGCAGGACGATCACGATTTGGCGCAACACGTGAATGTCTTCAATCAAATCGTTTCTGATCTGGCTCGGCTTGATGTGAAAATTGAGGATGAAGACAGAGCGATGATTCTGTTGTGTTCGTTGCCTTCCTCTTACGAACACATGGTGACTACTCTTACATATGGGAAAGAGACTATCAACGTTGAGGAGATTACTGCAGCCTTGTTGGCTCACAACCAGCGGAAGCAGAATGCAGGGGAAAGCTCTCAAGCCGATAGCTTATATGTCAAGGGTAATCGAGATCGTGGACGGAAGCCAGAGAAGGCAGGGTCCGGGAAGCGGAATTCCAGATCCAAATCCAGGGATAAGAAGACGATTCACTGTTACAAGTGCAAGGAGGCGGGACATATGAAGCGAGACTGTCCGAAGTTGAAAAAGCAGACTGATGAGAAGCGTGATGGCTCATCCAAGTCTGTGAACGTGGTCGAGGATGATACTTCTGATTGCAGTGAGGGTAATATGCTTTCTATTTCAACGACACAATTGACGGATGCTTGGATTCTTGATTCTGGATGTTCTTATCACATCACGCCAAATAGGGAATGGTTTTCGACATACAGGCCGGTTAATTCTGGTTCGGTTTATTTGGGCGATGATCGATGTTGCAATATTGTTGGTATTGGTGATGTCAAAATTAAGATGCACGATGGCTCCGTTCGGACGTTGAGTGGTGTTCGACATATCCCAGACTTGAAGAAGAATTTGATTTCCTTGGGCACTTTGCACAAGAATGGTTTTATCCCTAAGGCTGACGAGGATAGGGAAACCATTCGGATTGTTAAAGGAGCATTGACTGTGATGAAAGGCAAGATGACTGCAGGGAATATCTACAGATTGTTAGGGAGTACCGTTGCAGGTGGAGTTCACTCTGTTGAGTCCTGTGATGATACGACAAAATTGTGGCATATGCGCATTGCTCATCTTAGTGAACGTGGTATGGCAGAATTACACAAGAGAAACTTGTTGCATGGTGTCAAAAGCTGTAAGCTCGATTTTTGCAAGTATTGTGTTCTTGGTAAACAGACTAAAGTCCGTTTCAAGACTGCGAAGCACACAACTCAAGGGATTCTTGATTATGTGCATTCTGATGTATGGGGGCCTTCCACGACATCGTCTTTGGGTGGATCTAGGTACTATGTTACTTTTATTGATGATTTTTCACGGAAAGTTTGGGTGTATTTTTTGAAACAGAAATCTGAAGTTTTTGAGAAGTTCAAGCTGTGGAAAGCTGAGGTAGAAAACCAAACAGGACGAAAAATCAAGTGTTTGCGGTCTGACAATGGTACGGAGTACACAGATTCACATTTCCTACAATTCTGTAAGGAGCATGGGATTCAGAGGCATTTTACAGTGCGCAAGACACCACAACAGAATGGTGTTGCGGAACGAATGAACAGGTCGTTGAATGAAAGAGCCAGATGTTTGCGGTTGAATGCGGGGCTTCCCAAACACTTCTGGGCTGAGGCTGTTAACATGGCGTGTTACCTTATCAACAGATCGCCAAGGGCATCGCTGGCTGGGAAAGTTGCAGAAGAGGTATGGACTGGGCATGATGTTAGTTTTGATAACTTACGGATTTTTGGTTGTCCTGCTTATGTGCATGTACCTGCTGATGAGAGATCCAAACTTGATGCAAAATCGAAGGAGTGCATTTTTCTGGGTTACAAGAAAGGTGTCAAAGGATTCAAGTTTTGGGATCCAGTTGCGAAGAAAGTTGTGATTAGTAGAGATGTCGTTTTTGATGAACAGTCTATGTTGCAGCAGAAGCAAGACACGACAGTGGTAGATTTCGAGCAGTTTCCAGTTGAGAAACCAGAAACTTCTCAACCGACTTCTGGTGGTTCCACTACGGATGATTTGCAGGATTATAGTCTCGCCAGAGACAGGGTGAGACGGACGAATATAAAGCCTCCGAACAGATTGGGTTTTGAAGACTTGGTATCTTTTGCACTTACTGTTAGCAGTGATGATCCAATTACTTTTCATGATGCCGTTACTAGTCAGGAAAACGACAAGTGGATGGCAGCCATGGTTGAGGAGATGGAGTCTTTGAATCACAATCGCACATGGGAGTTAGTTCCCCTTCCTGAGGGTAAGAAGCCGATTGGTTGCAAATGGGTGTATAAGAAGAAACCAGCAGTAACAGAAAAAGAGGGGGAGAAGTTCAAGGCTCGTTTGGTAGCGAAGGGTTTTTCACAGCAGAAAGGAGTTGATTATGATGAAATCTTTTCTCCTGTGGTCAGGCACACTTCAATCCGAGCAGTACTTGCATTGGTGGCTAGTTGGGATTTGCATTTAGAGCATATGGATGTTAAAACTGCTTTTTTGCATGGTGATTTAGAGGAGCAGATCTACATGCGGCAACCTGAAGGTTTCACTCAACCTGAAAACGAGCATTTAGTTTGCAGATTGAAGAAATCTTTGTACGGGTTAAAACAGTCTCCGAGACAGTGGTATAAACGGTTTGACTCCTATATGATCAAGATTAGCTACAACCGATGTGAGTATGATTGTTGTGTCTATGTTAAGAGCCTTGATGATGGTTCTTTTATTTTTCTATTACTGTATGTTGATGATATGTTGATTGCTGCGAAGAACATGGATGATGTTATCGGTTTGAAAACTTTATTGAGTCAGGAATTTGATATGAAAGATTTAGGTGCTGCAAAGAAAATTCTTGGAATGGAAATTTGCAGGGACAGAGACTCAAGGAAACTGCGGCTATCTCAACGGGGTTATGTTGAGAAAATGCTAGAAAAGTTTGCGATGAGCAGCGCGAAACCAGTTAGCACTCCATTGGCGAATCACTTTAAGCTCTCATCAGAACAGTGCCCTAAGACAGATAAGGAAGCTGAAAATATGGCAAATGTTCCGTATTCTAATGCTGTTGGCTGCTTGATGTATGCGATGGTATGTACTCGACCTGATTTAGCTCATGCTGTTAGTCAAGTTTGTAAGTACATGTCTAAACCTGGTAAGCAACATTGGGATGCAGTCAAGTGGATCTTTCGGTACTTAAAGGGTACTGTGGGACATGGAATTGTTTTTGGGAGTCAGCGGGATAATCCTTTGGTTGTAGGATATGTGGATTCAGATTATGCAGGTGACTTGGATAATAGAAGATCTACGACAGGGTATGTGTTTACTCTTGGTGGAGGGTCTATTTGCTGGAAGTCTAATGTTCAATCTGTCGTGGCACTATCTACAACTGAAGCTGAATACATGGCAGCGGCTGAAGCTGCAAAAGAAGCTTTATGGCTTACTGGTTTAGTGAAGGAGTTGGGTGTTCAACAAGGTGGAGTTCAGTTGCTTTGTGATAATCAAAGTGCTATTCACTTGGCTAAGAATCAGGTGTATCGTGCTAGAACTAAACATATTGATGTAAGGTTCCACAAGATCAGAGAGTTGGTTGCATCTGGAGAGGTTTTGTTTCAGAAGGTACATACTGATGAGAATGCCGCTGATATGTTCACCAAGCCAGTTACGACAGACAAGTTCAAGCATTGCTTGGACTTGTTGAATGTTTCGAGTTGTTAAAGAAGCAAGGTAACCCAACCCACATTGAAGTTTCCAAGGGGCAGGATATTCGCCAAGGTGGAGATTTGTTATGTATGGCTCATAAAATGTCTCGTTGTGGGGTTACGAATTATGTGGGTTGGGGGTGTGGGGGCGTAGCCCCCGCGGTACGGTACAGGGTTGATTTTGTAATTATGTACCATGGTTTTCTATTATAAATAGAGATGTAACCTAGACCTAAAATATCATTGAATAAAATTCTAGCGCCGCCTAGGCACCGAGGACGTAAGCACATTGCCGAACCTCGTAAAATTCTCGTGTTCTTTCGTTTTCTTTACCCATTTTCGTCAACAGAAATCATGTGGCATTTCAATGACTTTTGGTTTTGAGAGGTCTTAGAACTTGTAAGTCAGCTACAAGGTTGTTAGTTAAGTATAATTACTTATAAACTAATTTGTCTGTTTACAACGTAATTGAGAAATAGTAGTATCATCACTTAATTATAAAAATAATAAAAGAAACCTAGCATTCAATGTATGAGCACCTCGATCATGTTCGAAAGCCCAAGCAGATAAAGCAACTTACAGCAGCATGTCAGCTCCAACGTCACTGATAATTTTCTCTACTTTAGTCAACATATCTGTAAAAATAATCTCTCAAACTTTAGCAAATAGGCATCAAACAATTTATTAACGGAGACAGTGCCCCAATTCAAACAGAGATTGCAGGCCTTGCAAAATTTAAGTGAAATAGAAATAGAAATAGAAGGTACCTTGGAAGGAAGAATCTTCCATGAATTTCTGCACAAAACAAAACAAAAACCAGAACTGTCAATGAAGGAACAATCTCGTAGACATATTTAGAAAAACTTGCAGTTTTAAGAAATGTTACATGCCAAACCATGCAGCAATAAGGTACTCTTTACCTTCTAAATACTGAAAGTAATAGCAAAAATATCGAGAAATAGTTAGAAACCATTACCACAATTTGGGATTTGAGATCGATTTCCTCAGACACTCTGGGTTTATTGGCAGCTACATCATTTGAGGAAAATGTGTTATGAATTCAGTTGCTGGATATCCCTATCTATATTCAGGTCAAGAAATCTACCCTTTTCAGCGGTAGGGCAGAAATTGGTCAGTAATGACGTGAAACTAGGGGGAAAGGGTGGAAAAATTCCTTCACAATTGCTATCAAGCATTGCATCTTGATCGAATGACTGCTGCCTAATTTCATAGATTAAACCGAGAGACATTTGTGGAGCGTAAGAACCATCAGAATTGTTATTAAGCATCACATCTTGATCAAATGACTGCTGTCTAATTTCATAGCTCAAACTGGGACACATTTGTGGTGTGTAAGAACCATCCGGATTCAAATCACTAAACTCTTGATTGTCTCTGCAGACAGTCATTAGCTCCTTTTAGATTTGTCCTTAAGACATACCTCCTAGTGTTCCCAATAATTTGTCTTCTGATTAATCCAATAACATATATTAAAATATTCTGCAAGAAACAAATTCGTAAGTGTTGCATTTCATATCTACCTAGAAGGAAGTCCATTACTAGATATGAACTCTGATTGTGGTGAAAAATCAGATCCAAAATCTGTGTTTAAAGGTTCAATTTCAACTTCACCCTTGAACTTCTCCTGAGAAAGAAAAATAATCATTCCAGTGTAAAAGAAAAGAAGTCCAGAAGCAGGGCAAATTTATTGGATATGGATGAATCTATGATAATAATAAAAGTCAATGTTATTACAAGAAGTAAACATTTCTATAGTTGCATTTCTACCCGCAGAGTATTCATGAATGATTCTGCCTCATGATTTGTAGAAAATCGCAAAGCAAACTTCTGAATCTGCAAAAATATAAATAGAGCTCCATGAGTTTTCTGCGATGAACAAAGATTCTAAACTTTGTTTAGGTCTGCCTTCAAAGGAAAAGTAACAATTCGTATTGCTTAGATCTATTTAAAATATCTTAATATTGTCCTAGACTGCATAGTTTCCCATTCTAAGATCTCTTTGGGAGACGATATCTTCATTAAGTGGCTCTAGAATGAGAAACAATAAGAAGGTTTGCAAACATTTTTCTCCTACATCATTTGTTTAATGCAGTTCTTATATACTTTTTTCACTTTACAAACACGTAAATACCTTTCCTGTTTTGCTCCTATGAAACACATTTTAACGGTAACAATGACCTTAAGAAAGAGCAAAAGGAACATATCTATATGTGTATCCCTTGTTATAACCTTATAGGCTTACCTCGTCAGCGCAGTCTTTGTAGCTTACAAACACAGCTCTGCTGCCCCTAGCAGGAATTTCAGGGATGCATTGGATTTGAGGCCAGGAGAAGTGCAGATTGGACATGTAGTGCACTTCCTACTCCAAATAACAGAATTCAATTCCTTATAACAGCAGAACACAATCATGATGACACAAATCCAAATGAAATAAGATCGCAAAATAATGAGCTAGGCAAACCGCCAATCTGTTAACAAGAAAAATGCAAATTGAATTGATATTTTGAGATCAAATCAACTACAGCCAGAGTCTAAACTTGGATATGTTTTGGTCTACACTACTTTCAACATTCCTTATACATTATAAATGAGAGAATTGAAAAAGAAAAGAATCAACAAGTAAATACTATAAGACAAGTTCCTTGAAGCTCCAGAAAATTTATCTAAGAAAACACAGTGAAGGACGATGAAAAGGGAATATAAATTCAAATTTGCTCTCGAAAAGTAGAAGGATCGAGAGCAATTGCTATGCTGGCTATGAGAAATCAGCAATCAACACACTTCTCCGAACCTGGATTCATTCTCATTTTCTTAACACTCGATGTATTTCAGATAAAACGAAAATTCGTTTTCCTCATTATTTTAATGATCAATCAAACATAATTAACAAACTGCTTAAGAGATTGATCAAATAATTTAAAGCTAGCGAGATCCTAATTGGCTTAACAGTCAACTTTGTACAGATAAAATGAAAATTCGTTTTCCTCGTTATTTTAACGATCAATCAAACAGAATTAATAAACTGCTTAAGAGATTGATCTAGAAGAGTTAGTAAAGAACAACTTACAAGGATCTTCCCGCTTAAAGAAACGGCGAGGATAGTTTCGGAGCTTGAGAACTCATTGATGATCTGCAGAGAAGCGGCTGGAAATGATGTGGCGATCCAGTTACCTCCACCCGAGCGACTTCGTTGACTCTTAGTGAGAGGTACGAGAGAGGGACCGGTGGAAGGGAGAGATGCCAAAGATCCCGCCATTTTTTATCACTTAAATTCTCTGATTATTTTTTAGTGAAGTTCGAAAATGAGGTAGACTATAGACTCTAGATTTCTAATTATTCCAAGTGAACCCGGCCCACGTTGTATTTCAAATCCATTAAGGCAATGAAATAAAAAAATAGAGATATAGTCATCTGACTAACCAATTATTTTCTTTATATTTTTCAAAATTTTAATAGAATTAAATAATGATTTGAAAGTAATAAGTAGAGGCGTTTATAATTGAATATTCATATTTTAAGATATTTAAAATGGATAAAATTGTCATAATAACGTGTTAGAAAAAATTTGATCGTGTAGGATTAAAAAATTATTTTTTAACTAGGGTCTTTGTTACACTATCTATTAGAAGTCATTTGAATCACATGGCATCTTCTGTGACGTCTGGATTACTCGATAACTTTTGCAGCACCAACCAGTTATCTCTATTATCGTGCATGTATGAAATAAGAAGAAGACGTTATCTACTTTAAACAACTTTCAGAAGTCGATGTGTGTTTCAAGCGACTTCTAATAAGCACTATAACAAACACCTACTTGAAAAAAAAATCTCATACACTTTATATGGTCAATTTTTTTAACAACATTATTCAAAAATTTTATGCCCAAAATGTATCTCCAGCAAAATTTTTGGGATAATATAGAGGGAACAAACTTTTTAATATAAGGTGATACATAAATTATTTTTTCAAATATGATGAATGTTACAGTGTCAATTGGAAGCTAGAATCATATGATATCTGCTGGAAGACACCTGGAAAACACAATATTTTCTCGCATTAGGTTATGTGCTTGTCTTCTTCATCTTTCTAAACTTCATCAATGGCGTCTACTCTTCGACCAGCTCCCCCTTTAGTTCAAGAACATCAACAAATCGCATCATTATTTTTGCATCCAAAGTCATTCATAAAAGTTAAGAAGATGTTTAATCTTTCATACGTTTTTATAAAGACGTCGTGTAATCCATACATCTTCTTCGATTTATTGTATGGAAATTATATTTGAGAAAATAAACTTCAGTGATTCTTATTTGAGGAAACTTTTTCACCTCATTATTTAGGTGATTTTGCAACTTTCTCCGATGAATTATCACCAACGATGTTATAATCAGAGCTACGGAGAAGCATATGCCATCCATCATGAGACGTCTACCTCTAATTCTGTCACTATGCTAAATAATACCCAAATAATTCCATAAAAAAACAACAGTGACTCACTCATAAATGTTGACCAAATTGCCCTGCTACCATTTCCATTACAAAGAAATCAAATATGAACCACACTTGGACTCGGTGAATGCGACCAATGTGAAATCCTCCAAGGTTCAATATCTACCAAAGAAGTCACAGTTTGAACCTACACCACACTTCCTCGATCACTTTTATCCTTTTTGTCGTTTGATTTTTGAAGATTAAACACCCAAATTCCCACATTTTTTGAAATAATCCAATTTTCAGTGGTTCTGCTGCTGCCACTGCCATTTTTAACTCATTAACACACTGCCACATCTTTTATATATTAGTCTTTCATCGACATGAAAAGTCTACTGACACCTGCGACTTAACCAACTACACAAAATCTGTGTACTTCATCCCACGGGTTAGCGTTTCTGCAGTTTTCTAATTGAGTTTAAGGGTAATCTGTTGGGATTCCTGGTGATTCACTATTAAATGAGTTTGGGTGCTGAAACTTTAATTGATTATTTTGCGGATTCTTGGGTTTGTGTTTAAGTTAACCATGTGATTTTGTTGACTGAGACCATTTACTTATTGATTCCTTTTTTTTTTTCCTTTTTCATTTCTAAATGCATTTCTCTGCATGGATTTTCAAATATTCTGGGTTTTTTAGTGATAGTTAATACCTTGCAATCATTTTCGTTGATGCGTGCTTTTGGGTGTCAGATGAGCTTTGGAGCCGATTTTTAAGATTTAGGCTTAAGAGAGATTCTATTATTGTGTTCGAATTGTTTTGGTGATTGTTATTCTCATATTGGAACTGGAAAACGAATATACAAAATCAAAATGTTAAATTTGACTTCTGGTTTAAGCCTTAAGGTTTTCTTACAGGTTTGAGTCCATAGATTGATAAGTTTAAGGAAGGAAGTTGGGTATCATGGGTCTTAAGGCATTAGACTATGAGACACTGAATGAAAACGTGAAGAAAGTTCAATATGCAGTCCGAGGGGAATTGTATCTTCGAGCTTCTGAGCTTCAGAAGGAAGGAAAGAAGGTATGTTTTTGCTTGCTTCTGAGCTTATGCTGAACAACTTGTTGAAGCAGTAGTTTATATGTTGGGGGTTTTAGCTTTTGTAATCAACTAAGAATGTGTAAATTCCAGATTGTTCTTATACATTTTTCGGAAATTATCATTATTAGTTCAGTCCTTATTTACAGCACGGAACTTGTTCTTGTGATTTTCTTTTCTTTTTGGAATTGTAGGTTATTTAGTGTTTTAAGAGTTTCCTAGTTAAATGCCTGCCTTGATGAGTTGATTCTACATTCATTGTTTGTCTGAACTTTTCTCGAGGGAATTCTTGTGACGGAATTAAAATGTCTGCATAAACCTCTATGCAGTATATGTTATCCCTATAGTTTACAAGAGTTCCCTATGTGCTGGGAAGTATGTTTTTTCAGAATTTTAGACTTTTGGTGTTTTGGGAAGTATGGCTGATGATTTTGCATGTGATTAGTGAACTGGGCTTTAAAAACATGGTGCCATTATATTTTCAGTTACAAAACTGACATGTATATGTTAATTTGTTTCGTGGCTTTATTTTTGTATCTGCAGATTATTTTCACAAATGTTGGCAACCCTCATGCTCTTGGACAAAAACCACTGACTTTCCCTCGCCAGGTATATTTAAGTTCTATGTAGTTCAGTTTTCAGCTGTTGGGATTAATCTGTGTTTTGCTCATTCAGTTGTTAATAGCATGTATTTGATCCAATAATTCTGTGCTACTACAGGTGGTTGCTCTGTGCCAAGCTCCATTTCTGCTAGATGATCCTAATGTAGGACTTCTATTTCCCGCAGATGCACTTGCAAGAGCAAAACATTATCTTTCACTGACTTCTGGTGGTCTAGGTATATCGTTGAGCTATTTATATGAAAATTGTTGTTAAACCATCTGAAATACCTCTGCGCTTTGTTTTCTTCTGTCTATGTACTTGTTAAATAATCTACTAATTCAATTATTTCTATATTTTAGTTATTAGTTTACAAGTATCTTATTATAGCTGATCTATGAACAGATCCCAATGGTATTTAAAGGAATTTGAATATGATCTGCAATGTAAATAACATTTGTTCCTTCACTATCTATCTAGGTGCATACAGTGATTCCAGAGGTATTCCAGGAGTCAGGAAGGAGGTAGCTGAGTTCATTGAAAGGCGTGATGGGTATCCTAGGTGATAATCTAGATGCTATTACTCACGATATCGCCTTCCGTACAAACAAATTCACATTTTTGGTACCAAAGCTGTAAGCTTAGTGGTTATTTGCTTCTTTTTCCAATGGCAGCAACCCAGAACTCATATTTCTCACTGATGGTGCCAGCAAAGGTGTGATGCAGATCTTGAATTGTATTATCCGCGGCCAAGGGGATGGGGTAACATATTTTCCTCATCCATTTTTTCTAAAAGATAATTTCATTATCTGTAGCATCTCTTTTATTGTCTCAGTTTGATTTATTCAACCTTATGAAATATAATTTAGAGATTTACTATGTTCCCAGTGCATAATGCTCTGATGATACTATTAAAATTTTTCCTTTGCCAGATTTTGGTTCCTGTCCCACAGTATCCACTTTACTCGGCTACAATCTCTCTCCTTGGTGGTTCACTTGTTCCATACTACCTGGAAGAGACTGCAAACTGGGGGTTAGATATTAATAATCTTCGAGAATCAGTTGCACAGGCTCGCTTCAAAGGAATAACTGTTAGTATACTTTTTCGTTTTTGTCGTTTACAAAAGAATTTGAAAAACATGGTCAGAAACTACGCAAACTTCATTATTAGTTGAAATGATGGATAAAAGTGGTCTGCTTAAGAGTCATAAGCGTATATAATTTGTTTGACTAAAAAATCCCATTCTGCATGTTAGGACCTAAAAATCTGATTTGTTTTGGCTGGCACCAAACGGTTTAACTTCCCATATTTACTCTTTTATTCTTTATATGACCAGGTGAGAGCAATGGTGATCATTAACCCTGGGAACCCTACTGGTCAGTGTCTCAGCGAAGCTAACTTGAGAGAAATATTGAACTTCTGTTACCAAGAAAACTTAGTGTTACTTGGAGATGAGGTCTATCAACAAAATATATACCAAGACGAGCGTCCCTTTATCAGTGCTAGAAAGGTAGATTCTATCATGCTGTTAGATCAAGCTACATGTGAATGATTTATATGGGATGCTAATTCTTCTAGTTGCGTTCTTTTCCTTTTACCAATGGAAGGTTTTGATGGATATGGGGCCTCCCATAAGCAAGGAAGTGCAGCTCGTTTCTTTCCACACTGTGTCTAAAGGATATTGGGGTGAATGTGGGCAGCGAGGGGGATACTTTGAGATGACCAACCTTCCTCCCCAGGTTTGCGTCGTTTTAATTAGCTTTAACGAGTTTCATGCTTTTCAGAGCGAGCCAAGAATTTCTTTCCATGTTAAAATTACTCTCAGAGGTGTACAAGTTTCCCTGCTTCGATGATATCGTCAAACGGATAAATTCATTATGATTCTTGCTATTTATCAATACAACTAAATTGCTTTGCTGTGTTACATCTTAACAATCATAGGCTTTCTTCCTTCTGGAATCGGACAATTTCGATCATTGAATGGATGCTCAGTCCTGTTTTGCTTTCCTGATCTTATATTACAGACAGTTGATGAGATCTACAAGATTGCATCAATAGCACTCAGTCCTAATGTTCCTGCTCAGATATTTGTGAGTCAATGTCATCCGATTTTCTGCGATTTTAGGTTTCAGTT